GCCAGAACCAGCACAAGGCATCCGCAGCTGAGATCCGTGGAATATCAACGCAACACAGAAAAACCTGAGCTAACAGCAAAAACGGTGCGGTTTAAAAATCTTACTAGAACTAAAAAGGTCTGTCTGTGAGAACAAAAGTTGCAGAGACGCTTGTTTGAACTAAAATTGTTAACAGCAAAAAGTTTTGGTTGTAAAACGTCTCCATATTTGGAAGTGAAAGCCTGATACCAGAATTTATTTCTTATTTAAACTTTTTGAACTTAAAATGAGATAAAATTACAAAAAGATTTTGGTTATGGATTTCTTCAAATTTGGAAGGCTAGTACCAATATTTATCATTTGAATTTTGGTACTTAAATGAAATGAACAATAGAGATTTCATTGCAATGGGACAATTTTGAGCTTACTTAAAGTAATGACCTAGGAACTGTTTTCTGGAATTGGGTTAAAAATGGAACTGTTTAAATGAAGAAATTTATTGTTTCTACCTAGAATTAAGATGCAGTTTTGTGTATGCATGTATGCTTTATTAACTGGTAGTTCATGAATTGTTTTTGTGGAACTGTTTATGTAAGAATGGAATTACTTATGGAACTGGTTTTGTGTTACAAATGGAACTGTTTAAACAGAAGTTTGGGTTTTCTAACTAGGCTTGAGATTTTGCTTAAAATTATAAAGAAAAGGGAGAGTTAATATTCCTTAGTCTATTTAAATTGTTGTTTGAGTGGATTAATGTCATGTTTTGTTAGTAAGAAATGCAAATGGGGTATACTAAGAGACTACTTTTAAAGTGTGTAAAGAGTTTTTTTAAGAAACTGCTTTTGGATGTTTTGCTAAAAGTTTTCAAAGTGTTAATGGTTAGATTGAAAATATTGCTTTTCAATATGGGTTTGTAGGAATTGTATAAGTTTGGGTTCCTCTAACTAGGTTTGAGATTTTGTTTAAAAAATTATAAAGAAAAGGAGTTATGAGGTTGAATTATATTCGCAGAAACCTATTGATATTAATGCACCCTGGTTTTGTGGAGTTGAGGAAATGTTTAAGTTTGTGAATACATCGAAGTTTTTCCTATGTTCTGTTAACAAGAAAATTCAAATGACTGAGTTAAAGTTGTAAGACGGAGAAAATTGTTAACTATATATAGCACCATATATGCTAATTCTAATGGTTCTGTTAAGAGTTTGCTTTGAGTTGTAAGATTGAGAGAATTGTGACTATGTATAGCAATATTTATGTTAACCTGTTAATGGTAATGATGAAGCTAAGGGATTCTTTAAGTTTGTAGTCGCCTTAAGAGGTTTGGTTTAGAAAGGGCTTGAGGCAGCTAAGACTGCTGTGGTCACCTTGGACCTAATTCAAAAGAGAAATGCATTTATATATATCATCCTCTACTCCCATACTGGGAGGTGTAACAGCTATGGAGATTGCTGTAAGCCATTAATAGTTATTTTTTTTATATATTAAGAAGGGGGGACCTGTGGGAGCCCGTTCTGGGGTTCCTCGTGGCTTTACCCAGCAGGTCCGAATAGAGGATGATCAGGACCACGGGCCTGAGTGCAGGTGTCTGAGATGGCCTGCACTTGGCTGTGCTGGGGGAGGAGGTCTTTTGCTCCACCCCTTGGTGTCTCTATAAAAACCCTGGACCAGAGACAGTCCGGGCCCATTGGAATAGGTTCCAGGCCCTCTCGAGGCTATCCTTTATTTTCTATCTGTTTATCTCCGCAACATTCTCCGCTATAAATCCTTCTATCTAATATTTCCTGCTGTTCGCACTCAAGAAAACTCTGGGAAGCTGTGGGGGTGGTGGGTAAACGCCCCACATCCAATGAACTCCTCAGACTATGATATCTTAAAACCTATGTTAATATTTGAATATAAATTTTAAATTTGGATTTACTTTTCTAAATTCTATATATTCTCTGAGAACATATTTGATTTATGAAACTAATTTTGATTTTTCTAACTAGGGGAAGATTAAGATCTATTTTTAACAATTTGTCTTATACTTGACACTGTGAAGAGATTTAATTTTTTGGCATCCTACCATGGAGTTTCTTATGTTTAAGCAGTGTACTGTTCTTTAGTTCTAGTCCTGTGATCATCATTGTGGAGGGTGCACCAAACATCTCCTTGAGGACTTGTGGAAAAACAAGATAATAGGCTTCTCTCAGAGTTTTTCACTCTGGAAGTCAAGGGTTGGACCTGACTGTCTACATTCTAATCAGTTCAGTTAATGGCAGTTGCCCTTGGCCAGGGAGTACACTTTGAGAATCACTGCTCTGGAGAAATGTAGATAGCAGTGTAAGTAGGGGTGTAAAAGAAGAAGGATGTGCTGTATTTGCAGCAGTACTAACTGTGAAGTGTTAGATTGACAGGACTGTGGAGAGGAGCATGGCCAACATGGCAGGAGTCAGCCCATGAAAAATGATGGAGCAGACATGAGAGAGTCTGTAGAGCTGTGTCACTGTGGCAAGGGAGGGTGTTCTCTCCAGACCGTTAACCTACATGTGGAACAGCTCTGTAACTTAGCATAAACGAGGGACCCACAGTACGACTTAAGTTGAACATATTAGACAATTTGTTTTACTTACAAAGTAACTTTTGAAGGAGAAGAATGCCTACAGCCATGCTCCTTAAGTGGCTCTGCACTTGTTGAGTTAATTGGAGCGGAGTGAGACCGTGAAGGCAGACTCAGTGGGGAATCACCTGAGGTCAGAAGCAATGGTGTCCCCAACGAATGTCTGACAAATGTGCATTTTTCCTAACAAGGACTCATGATCTCAAGGTTATAAGTCAAAGTCTTTGTATAAAACTTTTGGCCTTTCATAAAGAGCAAGAATTTAAAATTGCATGCCATCAAGATGCAAAAACAATTATAAATTTGTGTGACCTTTATAACTGGAATTTAAATATTTACTGAGCTTCTCTCTTTTACGTATAAAAACAAAGGCTCATTGTGAATTCATTGTGTTACCTTTGAAAGCCTCAAATGTCTTCCAAAGGCTCCTGTTATTAAGGTTGATGATTCCCTGCCTCAATTTAAATCAAGGGCAACCTGAATTATTTGGGGCTTATACTATTTAACTCTATATTGACTACAGGCAAGTGACTATGGATATAGCTTCACTTATCCTCTCTCTATTACCCCCTTCTTAGTCTTCCCCTCCCCGTCTGTCTCTCTCTTTTGTGTTGGGACTGGAGTGTACATGCTCAGGAAATCCTCTATTACTGAGCCATATCCTCTGCTGTACTTCAGATCCCCGCTCTGAGAGATCAACGTGATAATTATACTTTTAAGGAGTTGCTATGGGGATCATCTTAGAGTGCACACAGAACCATGTTTGGTCCATAACTATCATTACCATACCCAGGAAGACTTCCATGACTGGAGTGAGAGACATGCAAGTTATAAAAGAAAAAATACTCAAAACTGTTTTGAATATATTTTATGCTGTATTAACTTTTCCAGAGGAGATCTGAGAAAAAGTCCCTTCACTGCAGATGCGGCACCAGCCACAGACCTAAGCAGTGATTCTGTCAAATGCTAGCTTGGTGAACCAGTGAATTTATTGGGGTTACTTCTGGGAATGTGGTTGAGGGATTGCTTAGCAGGAGCTTATATAACCCTGAAAACCCCTACTGTAGCATGGGTGACAATGGCGAGACTGCATGGGGGGAGCCCTGCCTCAGGAAAGCTTCTGTCCTCTCCTCCAGGACCTGCCGTGACCACATGCAGCTGGGGTAGCATACGGCTGAAGAGCAGAAGAGAGGCTGGACTCTTAAGGGAAGATGTCCTTGCCTTCCCTATCCATCTTTCTGGCAGCCATGTGAGCAGGCCTAAGCTTGCGAGATCTCTTGTGGGTAACCACAGCAGATCTGATCAGGATGGAAATGGCTCTTAGGCTCAGAGGATGAGGATTCCCAACCATCATTGTTAACCTAGAGCAGGACATGGAAGAACATGCTGGTAATTGTTCTCATCTTGGGAAAAGGAGGGTCTTGGTTAATTGGCCACATGCTCAGTGGGGACTTTCCTCTGAATAATACCTTTTACTTCCACTTTTACTTCCACATAATGTATTTATTTAGTAATTTATGTAAATAAATTTATGGGATTAAAAGTTACCAAGGCAATGCCTTTGCTTTCTATGAAAGAGGTCACCTAATTTTCTGTTTTGTTTTTTTTTTTAAAAAAAAATCACAAAATAATTAAATGATGAAGTAAAAAGTAGAAAAATAAAACATTTTATATGAAACTATTCTTATTTTAAAAATAAAGTTTATTCATTTTTCAAATGGATAAGTGAATTCAAAGGCGTGTTAATATCTAATTATTGGTTTCCATTGCCAATGGCAAACACTAATCTGACCTTGTTCTAAGATGTTTGCCTTTTGTTCCTTTTTCATTAAATGATTTTAAATTCTTGAGGGTTTTAATTTTGGGAAACACTTGCTCTATCCCTTAGGCAAGTTGCCTGTAATGACCAGTTTGGTAGAAGTTATATATCATTTTTTTTTTGTATTGCATTTATTTACAGAATTAATTTGTAAAAACCTACACTGTTATTTTATAATTAAAAGCAGTTTGTATGACAATTTATTAAGTTGTGAGAAGGACTTTGGGTTGTTAGCTGTGCTAATGAGCTACATGTCCATCAAGTTTCCTTCTTGGTTTAATATTAGATGAGTTAGAAAATCAGTTTTCTCCAATTGAGTAACACTGAATACATGAACTACTCCAGGACAGGCTTCATGTTCGAGAGTAGTTAATCAACATATTATGAACTCCACAGGCTGTGTGTGTGTGTATGTGTATGTGTGTGTGCCTGTGTCTGTCTCTCTGTCTGCTTTTATTTGGTTACTGTTTGTTTTCACTTTGGGTGTGGTTTTATTTTGTTCTCTTGGTTTTGTTGTTGTATTGGGCTTTTGTTTGTCTATTGAGAAAGAACTTAAGGTTGGATGGGTGGGGAGGGGGAGTAGATCTGGAAGGACTTGGAGGAGGGGAAGAATTGATAAAAATATATTTAAAATTAAAATTTGCTTTAAATAATAAAAATATAATAAAGAACTGAAAAGAACTTAAAAAAAAATTAAGACAGGTTAGAGAATCGGAAGTTCTGGGCTTGTCCTGAAGAAGCAAGCTGTTCATTCTCTTTGCAGGCTGCAAAGGCAACACTGTGCATCTGGGAGTCCCAGCCATCAAAGACATGGATTGGACAGATTGTTTATGGAAGTGGCTGAAAGCTGGGAGAGGCTGCGTGCAGACTGGGGGACTTGGAAACAGAACTTGTCCAAGATTGAGTTTATCATTCAGATTCTGGATCTCTCCTTTAGCATTCTACATCACTGGTGGGGGGACTCTCGTGCGGTGGTCTGTGGACCACACACCACACACATGCTAGGGCACAGTGGCAAGTGTGTCCTGCTGTCAGATACAGTGTGTAACAGTCGCTGCAGCCCGAAGTATACCTTCTGCTCTTCTGCCTGGAGTTGAGGAAACAAAAAGAAAACATGGTAGGGGAAGAAATTAGGCTGGGTGCAAACAGGCGAAGCCTCTCACTTAGACAGGTGGGTTTGTGGACTGAACCTTTCTTTCGATCTTCACACTAAACATCGGGTCCCCCATTAGGACTTCCAGCCTTTTAAGTCCTTCATTTCATCAACATGTACCTGACCTAGGTTTTAGAAGCTCAACTTCATGCATTCTAGTGGGTAAAAATTATCTAATTTTGTAATTTATGATTATCCCAGGGAACACATCTTCATGCTAGGTGAAGTTGGCAGAAAATTAGACTGCCAAAGAGGTCCATGTCCAAATCCTTGGAACTTGTGGATATGTTGCTGTCTTAGACATTGTTCTATTGCCATGAATAGACACCACGACTAAAGCAATTTATAAAAGAAAGCATTTAATTGGGGGCTTGCTTATAGTTTCAGAGGGTTAATCTATGACCATCATGACAGAGAGCAAGACAGCAGGCATGGGACTGGAGCAATAGCTGAGCATTTACATCTTATCTGCAAGTTAGAGGGAGAGAGGGGGGGGGATGACACGACACGGGACTGCGCCTGACATGGGCTTTTGAAATCTCAAGCCTACCCCAGTAACACACCTCCTCAAACAAGGCCATGCCTCCTAATCCTTCTCTACACAGTGCACAAACTAGGAACCAGACATTAAGATATTTGAGCCTATGGTGCCCATTCTCCTTCATATCACCAAAGTCACCTTGTGAGGTAAAGAAGAGAGAAGATGGAAGATGGACAAAGGGATGCCAATCAGTCCATCTTGAACTAGAGGGCCTTTCTGGGGTCCTCTGGACAGACCAAAGTTAGTCGCAAGTGTCCTTAAAAGAGGGAGAGAAGAAGAGTGAAGCTATGTTAGAAAGACTCAACCTGCCATCGTTAGCTTTGAAGATGGAGGAAGAAGTTGCCAGCCAAGGGGTGGTGGTACTTTTAGGAGGTGGAAAACTCAAAAATAGATTCTCACCTGGAACCTCCAAACAAGAATGCAGGGATTTTAACCTAGCAGGACCCTTATCAGACCTCCTTTCCTGATAGTAGACTGTGAGAGAAAGAACAAACTTACATTGCTGTAAGCTTATGGCAATTCGTTACAGCAACCATAGCAACCAGTTCTCTAAGAGGAGACTTTTTGTTGTCATAAGATGTGACCTAAAGCAATAGCTTTCTTCATGGGAATAAAAGTCATTCTGGAAGACAAGCTTGGGAGACACCCAGAGGTACACAGCAGCTTAGCAATGCTGGTCGGTTTCACTATCTCTGCTAAGAATGTTTGTACAAACATGTGTTCAGGCATCAGGAACTCTTCCCTTTTACCATCGCCTCCCACATCCCTGCTGGGTGCTCACCACACCCCATCAATCACTTTTCTGTTTGCCCGTGGTCCTGAGTCCCTTCTGCATTACCCACGGCGGCTTCTCACAAGCACCCACTGCAGTGTTCGGCCGTGGTATGGCATGTGAAGTTCCATGTCATCCCTCCCAGGAAAAATCCCAGGTTAAGTCCCCTCTCACCAGGCATAGACAGAGAGGTGTTTGAAAACCATCATTTTAACTTTTTTTTTTTTTTTTTTTTTTTTTTTGTTTTTTTTTTTTGGGCTGAGGATCGAACCCAGGGCCTTGCGCTTGCTAGGCAAGCGCTCTACCACTGAGCTAAATCCCCAACCCCATTTTAACTTTCTTGACTCCAGTAATAACCTCCCAGATTTTGGAGTTTGTTTAGGTTACTCAGAAAAGTAGGTTTTACATTTTTTAGACCTTGGGACATTTACGCAGATTGTGAAGTATTATTTGTAGATTTGTTTTCGAGAGATTTTTACTTATGTATTCTTTGTAAAGTCCAGGCTCTTTCTTCCTGGAGGAAGGCTCATGCCACAATGGCGGTTCGTCTTTTGCCTCCCTCTACGCTCACGCTCTGTGCCTTCACAGAGAAACTGAATGCTAACAGGTGTGGGAGATGGGCTGGTTTGCTGTTACAAGTGGGTGATCTTCCCCTGGGACCTCTGCTTCCCAATTGCATTCCCTCACCCTCCTTTGTCCCCATGACTTCTTCTCCTGAGAGGGAACCCCTGTTGAGGTGGGCCACCTGCTTACTAAAGAGTGATTTAGTTATCTGGGATGAGCATAGGATCTTCTCTGAGGTTTGCCCATTAGCATAACTGCTGAGATGCAGTAGCTCCTGGGGAGCAAGTCTCTGTATTAAGAAACTAGACTTGAAACTGTTGGGGCTAGGTGAATGGGCATCAAGGCCACCATCCTCTGTACCTAGGCAGTTGAAAGCTGACAGGCTGACATGCTATGAAAGTCAGATGGCACATTTCCGCTTGATGATAGCAGTTTTTTGTCTGCCTTCTAGGAAACTCTACTATGGAACTTGCTATGGAGTCTGAAGTTCTTTATTCTTTTTCTTCAATGAGCTTCCAGTCCCAGGGGCTGCTGTGAAAAACAGTGTTGCTGGACTGAAGAAATGTCTGAGATGCTCTAAAGGACAGTTGCAGCCCTGCCTGAGTGCTTGGCTCCATCTGTGTTGGCTGGTCAATCTTGCCCCCCTGGGCAATCAGCTGTAGGACCAACAAGTCCTATCTGTAGAGCAAAAGGAATCAGGATCCCGAGAGGGGTGAAAGAATCCACTTCAGCATCAAGACTAGGAGTTTGGGCTGAAGAGAACAGACCTTCTATATATTGTGGTAATATTGTGTTCCCCAAAATATTGTGCACCCTAATAAACTTATCTGGGATCAGAGAACAGAACAGCCACTAGATACAGAGGCCAGAAAATGGTGGCACACATGCCTTTACTCCTAGCATACCAGAGGCAGAGATCTGCCTGGATCTCTGTGAGTTCAAGGCCACACTGGAAACAGCCAAGCATGGTGACTCACGCCTTTAATCCCAGGGAGCAATGGCAGGAGGCAGAAAGGTTTTTGAGGCATCAGGACAAAGAACTAGATCTGGTTGAGCTTTTAGGCTTTTGAGCAGCAGTTCAGCTGAGATCCATTTGGATGAGGACTCCGAGGCTTCCAGTCTGAGGAAACAGGATCAGCTGAGGAATTGGCATGTGGCTGTGGCTTGTTCTGCTTCTCTGATCTTCCAGCATTGACCCTAATATCTGTGCCCCGGTTTGTTTTTATTAACAAGACCTTCTAAGATTCGTGCTACAACAGATCACTCACCACTCATAAGAAATGGTCCAGAGAAAGGAGAAGGCTCAGAGCAAGTCTCCCACCTGTTTTGATATTGCAGTTTCCTGAATTACCAGGGCCACAGTCACATTCCCATTTCTGTCCTACTTCCTTATTTAGTGGAGAAGAGGCCCTGTCCTGTCTGTCTGTTCTTTCAGCTTCCAGCATCCAGCCAATTGCAGGTCTGGTGCCCATTAAACATTTATGGAGCAGGAGGATGAATGAGCCTGAGGTTTGAAACTGTTCACTGCCAGAAGTTGCAGCTGCATGGAGGGAGGGCAGGAAGGAGCAAGGCCAGAGGAAAGGGAGGAGCTTACAGTATTTCTCCTGGGAGACATCCCAGCATGGAAGTTTCCTTTGCACAAAGAAGAACATCTAGGCAATTGCCAAGGTCCCTTATTGCTGTAATCAGTAACTTACGTAACCGGCCTCTCTCCCGTCTGGGCTGCTGTTTGCAGTTGTGCACATTGAGAGCTGTGCATAATTCCAGGGAGTGTCCTCTATACACCACAGCAAACAAAGTGTCATGTAGGGGGCTAAAAGATCTTAGAAAAGAGGTTCCTAATTAGAAATTGTTCCTAATTTAGGCTGAGAGTCTGGGTTACAACTGTTCCATCCTATTCTTTCTTAGAGACCAACTCCAGCTTAGATCCCACCTCAGGATCAGCCAGAGAGGAACAGACTGCAGACTTCTGAAGTGATGCTCACTTGATCCTGTCCCTACCCTGTCTTTCAACAGGTCATTCAAATTGCTGTCTTTTGCTGGCCCCAGTTTTGGATCTATTCAATGTTTTGTTTTGTTTTTTTCTCTAACCATGCAGAAGTAATTTGTCTTCTTTTTGGAGAATCTTGAAATGTGAGGACATTAATCAAAAATTCAAAGAAGTTTTAAAACTGCAAGTAAAAATATAGTGACGTGGAGTGCAAACTTTGACTTAAATAGGCCTGAGTTGGATTTCCAACTGTGCAACCTTAAGCAAGTAGGTCACAACATTGACTCCTGTATTTAGTTATTCCCTCAAAAGTATTGTTAGCCACTTTTCCTGTGCTGGGAATTGGGTAGTTCAGGTCTCAAAGAACTTTTGTCTGAACAGAAAACTCACCCTGGTAAGTTAAGTGCAAGATGATAAGAACACCATGAAGGAAATCCACAGGGACAATGTGAACAGAAACTGACCAGTCCTCTCTGGCAAGGGAGGGCTGAAGCTTGAGGAATGCAAAGGAAGGAAATGAGCAGCATATGCGGAAGCCTCTAAGGTGGAGTAAGAAATGTGGGCCATGGTCCTGGGGCAGAACATTAAGACTGTCAGGATACAAAGACCAGAGGAGCGTGTTGGAAATGGAGGCTGGGATGGTAGGGAGCTGATAACATTGGGGATTAAAGGCATGGTAACAATTTTACACTCTAATCCCAAAGCACTTGAATGTTTTAAGAAGTTCAAATCAAATCAGTTTTCTTGTTTTCAAAGAGTGGGAGAGGGCTGATCCAAAGAAGCTATTCTAGAATGGAGAAAAGATGGTCCAAAGAAGCTATTCTAGAATGGAGAAAAGATGGAGGAGAGGAAAAGC